AACCCTAACCCTGAACCCTAAAGCCTAAACCCTAAAGCCTAAACCCTAAACCCTGAACCCTAAACCCTTAACCCTAAAGCCTAAAGCCTAAACCCTGAACCCTGAACCCTGAAGCCTAAAGCCTAAAACCTAAACCCTGAACCCTAAACCCTAAACCCCAGGCCCCTACATTCTAAACCCTAAACCCTGAACCCTAAACCCCAGGCCCCTAAATTCTAAACACGAGACGAAGATTCCAGCAACTTTTCGAGAGGAGCGCGTGGGCTATGAGAGCCCCAGCATCGAAGCCCTCGTGGCTTCAGGGCTTTGAGGAACCCGAGGGTAGACTAAGGTTGGTTTAGGGTTTAGGGTTTAGGGTTTAGGGTTTAGTATGGGCCCTTAACCCTGGGATCCTTATACACCTACTATATACCCTTAATGTACCCTTAAGGGTCCCTAGAAAGGCCTCAGGGTCCCTGTTAAGGGCCCATACTTCTAGCCTCAGGGTTGCACCAGAGTTTAGAGTTTAACGGTGTAGGGGGTTTAGAGTTTAATTAGACGGTCTAGGGGATGAGGGTTTAGGGGGGTTTAGAGTTTAGGGTTTAGGGGTTTAGGGGTTTAGAGTTTTGGGTGTCGTGGGTTTAGGGGTTCTGGGTTTAGGGTTCAGGGGTTTAGGGGTTTAGGGATACATGTACGGTCATAGGGGACTGAGGGCTTCGAGTCAGCGTCATGAGGCTTTTTGTTACATGCACGTTTCAGTATAATATAGTATGTCATATTGTCTCACTATGAGTTAGGATATATATATATATATATGACCTTATGTCTACATTTACCTTTGTTTATCGGTACGAACACCCTTGTTCATGGCTGCTGCTGTGTTTGTTAAAACTTTGAGCGGCGTACGTTGCGGCCTCCTCTTGGTCCCCTCTTGTCTGGGCTTTCGGTGTTCAGGGCCTGGAGTCCCAGAACCCCGCCTAAACCCTAAACCCTAAACCCTAAGCCCCTGAACCCTGAAGCCCTAAACTTCTGAACCCTAAACCATGAACTCTAAGCCCCTGAAACCTAAACCCCTGAACCCTAAACCCAGGGTCGTGGAGAAAGGCTGGTTCGAGTTTTCACGGATGACTGAGTCATGATCTGCTAAGAGTGCCTACGACTCTGACTTTCAAATTGCAATCCCCCCTCTCGGTTTAGGGCTGAGGTGTTTAGGGTTTAGGGCTTAAGGGTTTAGGGCTGAGGGGTTTGGGAGTTGTTTAGAGGTTTAGGGTTCAGGGCCAAAGTTTAGGGTTTTGGGGTTTGGGGTGTTGAATATCCTATTGCCGAGTAGGACCCCGGGGTATCTTGGTCGGTCAAGAATTTAGGCAGTTTCAGAACGGGGTTTAGGGTTTAGGGTTTAGGGTTTAGGGTTTAGGGTTCAGGGGCTCGACACACTTTCGCAAGCTCGTGCAAGGACGCGAACGGAACCTATTTGCTACGTGCAGATGACAATGAATGCCAGCAAGCGCGGGCGATCTTTTTTTAGCTCCAGCTTCAAACGTTGTCAGCAGCAAATCTTAAAATGGCACATAAGGGACTTTCTTCAATCGATGGAAAATATTTGCCAAGTTTGGCACTACTTGGACAAGCTTGTTTACCAGCTGTCTCAACTTGCCTCAAGCAACCACCCCAGCCCTGAGCCCTAAGCCCTATAAGCCCTAAGCCCTAAACCCTGGACCCTGAACCCTCAACCCCAAGCCCTCAACCCCCAGCCTCACTCCTAAACCCTAAACCCTAAACCCTCACCCGTTTACCGAGAAGGCTGGTCCAAAGTCTCTAAGACTCTAAGCCGGATGTACTTGAAGCTCTGAGATTAGGCTTTAGGGTTTAGGATTTAGGGCTTAGAGTTTAAGGCTTAGGATTTAGAGTTTAGGGCTGAGTGTTTAGGACTTACCTAGACCGCAAAGAACCTACCTTTGAAGGGCCTTATATAAAGGAACCAAAATAATAATAAGGAATCCTAAAAAGGTAGAATCGCTTAGCGACCGATGCTCCCCCTAAATCCTAAACCCAAAATCCTAAAACCCTAAACCTCTAAGCTTTAAACCCTAAACCCTAAAACCTAAATCCTAAACCCTAAAACCCTGAACCATGAACTCTAAGCCCTAAACCCTAAAACCTAAAACCCTAAACCCTAAAATCCTAAACCCCAAGATAGTGCTCACCCCTCCTGCAGCCGCTGCTGGAGAACTCACGAACTGAAGGGCACGGAAGAGTGGTGGAGGAAGATTCGGAGCTTTCCATCTTCGGTCTTTTTGTAGCCTTACGGGTTTTAGGGTTTCAGGGTTTAGGGAGTAGGATTTTGGGGTTTAGTTTTTGGAGGGTTTAGGATTAGGATTTAGGGTTATAGTAGGGCTATATAAGCCACAAAAAGGTTAAAGGTTGATTACCGACTCAGCCCCCAGGTAGCCGAAAGTGTACTCGACTTTGTTTTCGGCCCCCGTTTCGGCACATGTGAAGTAGTAGTTGCCCATGGCAATCGCTAGGTCGCCAGTCAGCTTGGTCTGGTGGTTCCTCGGTCGGCCCTGAAGCCTTAAACAAATCTTCGTAAATAAGATCCTGTTGGGCCCAAAAAGGCCAAAGAGTACAAGATGTTCCAAAGTTAAACCCTAAACCCTAAACCCTAAAGCCTAAACCCTAAACCCTAAACAGGTATACCCAGGTTCTCAAAAACAACATTCGACCAGCCCTTGCCGCCATTGATGGCGAAACCGGAGTCCTCACGAGGCTATGCGGTTTCAGGGTTTACAGGGTCTACTCTAGGGTCGACGAGCTCAGAGGGTATAGGGTAATATAGGGCCTTAATAGTTAGAATAGGGTTCCTTTAAAAGGGTTACTATAAAAGGTACTATAAGGGTTTAATATAGGGGCTTTAATAATTAGCATAGGGTTTTGGGGCCCATTATACTATAATGATAATAAGGAACCACTACAAGAGTATTTGCAATTATTTAGGCCCCTATATTACAGCGTTTAGGAGTCCTCGGCGTGGCCACCTTCGACCGCATCGCTCCCAACGAAGTAGGACATGGCATCGGAAGCACTTGGCCGAAACTGCGCCTCAGCTGCCTTCGTCGGCTTGAAGAGCACCTCTGAGTGGCCGTACCCGTACAGCTCCCCCGCTGCTTCCGCAGCTGCGGCAACATAGTCTCCCCCCTCAAGATACGTCTTGGAGATCTGCTTGATAGCACTTGCCCAGGCTTCTTGCGCCTTCTGCACCTCTTCTTCCGAAATTAGGTTGGCAACTACAGTGGGACTGCCAGCAGAGACATATGGCACGGAAGAGTGATGGAGAAAGATACGGAGCTTGCCGTCTACGTTCTTCTTGTAGCCGAAGGTATACTCAACTTTGGTCTTGTCACCCGTTGCGGCACAGGTGAAATGGTAGTTGCCCATAGCAATCGCAATGGGACCATTCAGCTTAGTCTGGTGGTTTTCAAACACGACCTCCGACCAGCCCTTGCCGCCGTTGATGGCAAAACCGGAATCCTCGAGATGGCCACCCTCGACCGCCTGGTGCCCTACGAAGTAAGACAAGGCGTCGCTGGCGCTTGGCCGAAACCTGGGTTCTAAGCCTATTTTGTATCATGTGACCATAGTGTATCGTATCTTGACTAGGCCCGAGGCCTAAATAACCGAATCTCCTTAGACAGGGAGCTGTGCTTCTGAAGCCTTTGTGGGCTTGAAGAGCACCTCTGAGTGGCCGTAGCCATACAACTCCCCTGCTGCCTGGGTTGCTGCTGTAACATAGTCTCCTCCCTCAAGATACCTGGGCAACAGGAGCTTCATCATGTTTAATCCTTATTAGGGTTTACTATAACAAAAATGTAAAGTAATTAACTTTTATTAGGTTGTATTATAACAAAAATTTAAAATTGTAGCCAACAAGGACCCAGATACGTCTTGGAGATCTGCTTGATAGCACTGGCCCAGGATGCCTGCGCATTCTGAACTTCCTCCTCTGAAATCACAAAGGAGGTCTCAGGGTCAAAGGGCACGGAAGAGTGGTGGAGGAAGATTCGAAGCTTGCCATCTTTCGCCGTCTTGTAGCCGAAGGTATACTCAACCTTCGTCTGGTTCCCAGTTTGGGCACAGGTAAAGTAGTAGTTCCCCATGGCTATGGCAATGTTACCGGTCCGATTTGTCTTGTGATTCTCGAATACAACATCTGACCAGCCCTTGCCGCCGTTGATGGCAAAACCGGTGTCCTGCGCGGGTTTAGGGGTTTAGAGTTTAGAGCTTATAGGTTTCAGAGCGCATGGGGCTTGATTGGTTTAGAACAATACGGGTTTTGGGGGTTCCCTATTATAGTTATAGTATGATATACCCCCAGACCCTATTCCTATTTTTCAGGCCGCTATCTTAGAATGTTTCGGGTTTAGGGGACCTCCGAGTAGCCGCCCTCGACCGCATCGCTCCCAACGAAGTAGGACATGGCATCGGAAGCACTTGGCCGAAACTGCGCCTCAGCTGCCTTTGTTGGTTTGAAGAGCACCTCTGAGTGGCCGTACCCGTACAGCTCCCCCGCTGCTTCCGCAGCTGCGGCAACATAGTCTCCCCCCTCAAGGTACGTCTTGGAGATCTGCTTGATAGCACTTGCCCAGGCTTCTTGCGCCTTCTGCACTGCCTCCTCTGAAACGAGAGGCTTTGCATCGAAAGCATCGGGGTCCAAGGGTATGGAGGAGTTCTGGAAAAAGATGCCCACCTTGCCGAGCTCATCCTTCTTGTAACCTCAGCTTCTGAGTTCATAAGCCCAAAGAAGTGTAAACCTTGAGTGTTTAGGGTTTAGGGTTTAGGGTTTAGAGGGTTTAGGGTTTAGGGTTTAGAGTTTAGGGTGGGTAGGCTAACCTTATCTCCAAACATGTAAAATGCAACCATTCAGCTGGTAAGTAACCGAAAGTAAAGTCGGCTTCGGTGATGCCTTTCGTCTCGGCGCTGGTGAGGTAACACTTCCCCGACGCAATCGCGACATTGTCAGCAATCTCAATCCTTAACGCAAATGAGGAAGGCAGGAAAGCAAGATTTCCAATTGTATAAACACTACCTGGAACCTGAAAAACCCTACCTTTTTAAGAACTGTTAAAATTAGGAAAGCATAACAAGGAACCCTCAGAGGGCTGGTTCTTTGGGGTTTAGGTCCACCCTAAAGCCTGAAGACTCATACGCAAACACAAATCAAGCCCCGCAGCCCTTAACCCCAAAAGCCATACATCCCACCCGAGCCAGTATAAAACCTTTACTTGCGGATCTATAGAATTTTGGAGAAACTGCATAAAGAAAGTAAAACTTAGCTGGACTCTGCTGACTGTGACTGTTCATTCCTATAGGTGAAACCAACCCTAAACCCTAAACTCTAAACCCTAAACCCCTTACTCAAAAACCTTAAACCTGCTTTGAGCAGACCCTTCATCCCTAGCTCGTCACCGTATAGAGAACTACAGGACACTGGATGATTGTCGAAGCCCCCTAAACCCTAAACCCTAAGCCCCTAAACCCTATAAACCCTATAATCCCTAAACCCTAAACCCTATAAACCCTGAACCCTAAACCCTATAAACCCTAAACCCTATAAACCCTAAACCCTCTAACCCCCAAACCCCTAAACCCTAAACCCCTAAGCCCCTAAACCCTAAACGGTCAGGGTGTTGTTTTTTTGTTGTTGCCCCTTTTTGCTCGGGCCCCGTGTCATTGGTTTCTAGAGTTTTTTTTGCTGTCGTTCCCGGGTGTGCAAAGTGCTTTTTTTTTGTTGCGCCCCGTTGGGCGCCGATGGCCGCCGGTGCGGGGCCAGAGCACAAAAAACAACACCACCCAGGGACCCATGGTGTTTTTTTGTGCTCCGGCCCCGCCGAT